CATAACATCTGTAAGTATATATGCATCCAACATGGGAGCACCAAAATATATAAAGCAAATATTAACAGACCTAAAGGGAGAAATGAACACTGATACAAGTATAGTGGGGGACTTTAATAACCCCTTTCAACAATGGATAGATCATCCAGAAAGAAAATCAAGAAAGAAACACTGGACTTAATACATTAGACCAGATGGATGTAACAGACATTTATAGAACATTCCATTCAAAAGCAGAATACATATTCTTCCCAAGTAGAACATTGAAACATTCTCCAGGATAGCTCATATATTAGGTCACAAAACAAGGTTCAATGAATTCAAGAAAACTGAAATCATATCAAACACCTTTTCTTATCACAATGGTATGAAACTAGAGTCAATTACAAGAAGAAAACTAGAAAAGCAAAAATGTGGAGACTAAAAAAAACTGTTACTAAACAACCAATAGGTCAAAGAAATCAAAGGAGAAGTAAAAACTATATACAAATGAAAACAAGAACAAAAAAAGACACACTAAAATCTATGAATGAAGCTAAAGCAGTTCTAAAAGGGAAATTTGTAGCAATACAGACTTACCCCAAGAAACAAGAAAAATCTTAAAACATCTAACTTTACACCTAAAGAAATAAGAAAAAGAAAACAAAGTCCAAAGTTAGGAAAAGGAAGGGAATAATAAAGATCAGAGTGGCAATAAATAAAGGCCAAAAGACAACAGAAAAGATCAATGAAACTAAGAGCTGATTCTTTGAAAAGAAACAAAATTGACAAAACTTCAGCTAGACTAACAAAAACAAACAAACACAAAAACAAAAAAAACAAGAGGACTCAAAATCAGAAATGAAAGAGTAGTTACAACTAATACCACAGAAATACTAAGGATCTTAGGAGATTACTACAACAATTATATGACACATGTTAGATAAATTGGAAGAAATGGGTAAATTCCTAGGAAAACATAATCTGGAAGAAATAGAAAATCTGAATAGATCAATGCCTAGTAAGGAGACTGAATTAGTAATCAAAAACCTTCCAACAAACAAAAGTCCAGAACCAGATGGCTTCACTGGTGACTTCTAACAACGACTTAAAGGATTAATAACAATCCTTCTCAAACTCTTCCAAAAACAGAATAGGAGGGAACACTTCCAAATTCATTTTATAAGGCATCAAACCAGACAAGGGCACCCTTAAAAAAATAAAGAGAATTACAGGCCAGTATCCCTGATGAACATAGATGGAAAAATCTTCAACAAAATTTTGCCAAATTGAATTGTACAATACACTGAAAGGATCATATACCATTATCAGGTGAGATTTATTCCAGGGATACAAAGATGGTTCAGCATATGCAAATCAATCAATATAATACACCACATAACAAAATGAAGGATAAAAACTATAGGATCCTCTCAACAGATGCAGAAAAAGCATTTGACAAAATCAACATCTATTCATGATAAAAACTCTCAACAGTTAGAGGAATGTAATAAAGGACATATATGACAAGTCTACAGCTAACATCATTCTCAACACTGAAAAGCTAAAAGCTTTTCCTCTATGATCAGGAACAAGAAAAGGATGCCTACTCTCCTTCACTTTTTTTCAAAATAGTAGGGAAGTTCTAGCCAGAAAAATTAGGCAAAAATAAGTAAATAAGTAAATAAATAAGTAAATGAATGAATAAAATAAAAGGCATCCACGTGGAAAGGAGGAAGTAAAATGTCACTATTTACAGATGACATATTATACAGAGAAAACTTTAAAGACTTTACCAAAAAAAACCTGTTAGAATAAATGAATTCAGTAAAGTTGCAGATACAAAAATAAGCATATGAAAATCTGTTGCATTCCTATACACTAATAACAAACAATTGGAAAGAGAAATTAAGAACATGATCCTATTGTTAACTGCATCAAAAATAATAAAGTACCTATGAGTAAATTTAACCAAGGTGACAGATCTATACACTGAAAACTACAAGACACTGATGAAAGAAACTGAAGACAACACAAATAAATAGAAAGATTCCATGCTCATGGATTGAAAGAACATTGTTAAAATGTACATACTACCCAAAGCAATCTATAGATTCAGTGCAATCCCTAGTGAAAATTCCAATGCCATTTTTCACAATAATAGAAAAAAAATCTTAAAATTTTATGGAACCATAAAAGACCCCAAATAGCCAAAGCAATCATAAGAAGGAAGAACAAAGCTAATATATCACATTCCCTGATTTTGAACTATATTACAAAGCTATAATAATCAAAACAATATGGTATTGGCATAAAAATAGACATAAATCAATGGAATACAGAGCCCAGAAATAAATCCATGCTTTTATGTCAATTAATTTATGACAGAGGGGCCAAGAATATACAATGGGGAAAGGATTTTCAATAAATGGGTGTTGGGAACCTGGACAGCAACATGTAAAAGAATGAAATTGGACCCCTGTCTTATACCAGACACAAAAATCAACTCAAAATGGATTAAAGACTTGAATACAAGACTTGAAGCCATAAAACTCCTAGGAAAAAACACTGGGGTTAAGCTATTTGACAATGGTCTTGCCAGTTAGTTTTTTAGAACTGATATCAAAAGCAAAGACAAAAAAGCAAAACTAAACAAGTGGGACTATATCAAACTAAAAAGCTCTGCACAGCAAAGGAAACCATCAACAAAGTAAAAAAGCAATCTACTGAATGGGAGAAAATGTTTGCAAACCCTATATCTGATAAGGGGTTAGTATCTAAACTATATAAAGAACTCATAGCAAAAACTTGGTAGCAGTAATAATAATATTATTAAAAATAGGCAGAGAAATTGAGTAGGCATTTTTCCAAAGAAGACATACAAATGGCCAACAGTACTTGGAAGGGTGCTCAACATCACTAATCATCAGGGAAATTCAAATAAAAACTACAATGAGATATCAGCTCTCATCTGTTAGAATGTCTATCATCAAAAATACAAGAGATAACAAGTGTTGGTGAGAATGTGGAGAAAAAGGAACCCTTGTACACTGTGGTGGAAATGTAAACTAATGCAGCCACTATGGAAGAGTATGGAGGTTCCTCAAAGAAAAAGAGAGTATCTTATGATCCAGCAATTCCACTTCTGGGTATATATTCAAAGGAAACAAAATAACTACCTCAAAAAGATATCCTTATCCCTATGTTCATTGAGGCATTATTTACCATAGCCCAGATATGGAATTATCCTCAGTGTTTATCAGTGAATAAATGGATAAAGAAAATGTGATACACACACACACACACACACGCAGAAGACTATTATTCAGCCATAAAAAAGAAGGAAATCTGGCCATTTTCAACAACATGTATGGACCTTGAGGGCGTTATGCTAAGTGAAATAAATCAGAGAAAGACAAACACTGTATGGTCTCACTTATAAAAACTGGAATCTAAAACATTGAACTCATAGAACAGATTGGTGGTTGCCAGAGGTGGGGGGTGGGATGGGGAGGGAAGTGGTTAAGTATGGTTAGAAGGTATAAACTTTCAGTTGTAAAATAAGTAAATCCCTGGGGATATAATGTAGAGCATGTTGCCTATAATTAACAAAAATACACTGTATATTTGAAAGTTGCTAAGAAAATAAATCTTAAAAGTTCTCATTATAAAAAACAATTTGAATCTATACAACTGATATTAAATTTATTGTGATGATCATTTCACAATATATATGTGATCAAATCATTATATTGTACACCATGGACTAATACACAGTTTTATGTCAACTATATCTCAATAAAACTTGGAAAAAATACAGATGTTCCGGTTGCCAAACCAATTAAGACAGAATATCTGAGATCAGAGATTCTTTGGTATAGCCAGAGCTGAGAACCACTGATAAAGGACCACTGTCCTTTAGAGGTAGAAGGAACTATAAAGACCACGAGTCTACAAAGACTTAGACCATAACATAAGGCCGGAGTAGTGATCTGCTTAGTTTCTGGAGTGTCAGTAGCTTTTAAGGGACAGGGCATCCCTGCAGATAGTATACTATGGCTAGACTCTGTCTCGCATCTATGGCCCTATTTATCTAGAAAGTTTTCTCCCGTGACACTCTGGTTAATCAACCAGGCCATGATGAGCCAAGTTCTAAGATGTGTCATTAAAACTTCTAATTAGTTTGTTTGTGGCTGGTTGTTTCTTTCTTTCTTCAAGATTTTGTTTATTTATTTGAGAGAGAGAGAGCATGAGCAGGGAGGAGGGGCAGAGGGAGAGGGAGAAGCAAACTCCCCGCTGAGCAGGGAGCCCAATGTGGAACTCAATCCCAGGACCCTGGGATAATGACCTGAGCTGAAGGCAGATGCTTAACTGATTGGGCCAGCCAGGCGCCCTGGCTGGTTGTTTCTTTTAAGGATAGAAATACCAAAAAATATTTACAAAAAGAAGGAAATTAGAGATTCAAAATATCACTCTCACAATATCAAAACAAATACAAAATATCAAAGAACAAGTTAATTTTACACAATTTACTCAATAAAATGAAAGAAAACTGGAATAAATGGAGAAAGTTATTATGTTCCTAGATGGTAAGACAAAATAGGTAAGAAGGGCAGTTTCCTTAAAATTAATTGGTAAGTTTGAAAAATTTCCAGTCAAAATCTTAATGAAATATAAAAGTATGTAGCTTTACTAAGTGATTGTAAAGTTCATTTGGAAAAAGGAATGGAAAAGAATGTGTAAGAAAACACTGAAAAAGAGAACAAGGAGAGCGAATTCGTGGTGCCAACTTTTAATGTGTATTCTAAGTCCACAACAATTAAAATTATGTTGTAACAGTGAAAGAATGGGCGTTATAATGGTAAGAATAATTGCGAACAAAGCCCAGTATATCTGATAGTGTAATAAAAACAGCATTTCACATCAGTGAAAGTATAATTTTTAAAATATATTGAGACAATTAGTTCAGTATTTGGAAACAATTTTTAATTTCTATCTCAAACTATCTACTAAAATAAAAACCAATGAGATACAAATCAAGTTAATACTTAAAAGTACAAAAAACAGTAAAAATGAGCAAAAGATATGAATGACTAATATGTACATGAAAAAGGGTTCAACGTTAGTCATCAGCAAAATGCAAACTAAAATCACAAAAAACACCTGTCAAAATGGTTGAAATTAAAAACACTGACAACACCAAATGTTGGCAGGGATTTAGAGCAACTGGAACTCTTACGCATTGTTGGTGAGAGTGTAAAATAATATAAATTTTTTTTAAGTTCTAGCAGTTTCTTATAAAACTAAATATACACTTTCCCAATGGTTCATTAACTCTACTTCTGGATATTTGCTCAAGAGGAATAAAAACATGTGTCCACAAGAAGACTTGTGCAAGAATTCATTTATAAGAGCCAAGAACTGAAATCTGGTATGCATAAATAGGGCAACAGTAATATTCAACACAATGGAATATCAATAACAAAAAGGAATGAACTACTGATACTAAAAATAATAATAATCATTATAATAAAAGCTGAATGCAAGAGGTCTTACATGAAAGTGCACACTGAATAACTCCATTTATATCAAGACTTACAATACGTAAAACTAATCTAAAATGAAAAACAAAAAACAAAAACAAAACCAGCAACCTCAGAACAGTGGCTAGGAAGGGGCATGATACACAGTGTTAACATTTTCTTTCTTTATAGGATTTTAGGTTACACAAGTGTATGCATTTGCTAAATTCAGCAATGCATATTTTAAATTTGCACATTTTCTTGTAAGTAAAATTTACCACAAAATTTTAAAAAACTGAGGACTTGCCTATGGTTTAACTATAACTTGCTCATCCCAGATTCCAATTCTCTGCTATTCCTGGAAAACGCAGTTTTGTGGTTAAAAAAATAATGTTTTCTAAGCTGTAAACAAATAATAGATGTCTACTTTATGACATGCTAATTTAGGGTGAAGTATACTGACATCTGCAATTTACTTTGAAATACATCCCAAAAAAAAAAAAAAAGGTAAATTGATAAAGATGTATAAAGAGGTAGCTATTTGGTAAAGAAAGTACAATAAAGTATCATGGTGGGCAGAATAATGTCCTCCCAAAGATGTCCACATCCTAATTCCCAGGTGAATATTAAGGTTGCAGATGGAATTAAGTCAGCTCATCAGTTGATCCTGAGATAGGGAGGGTATCCTGTATTATCCAGGGGGACTCAATGCAATCACAAGAGTCAGTAGCATTGGAAGAGGTGGCAGGAGAGGAGAATCAGAGAGGTGTAACTATGGAAGAAGTTCAAAGAGATGCCAGTGGCTGGCTTTGAAACTGGAGGAAGGAAGGCACGAGCCAAGGAACAAAGCAGTCTTTAACTTACACAACTGTCCCTGTATAAAATGTATGATTATCAATTCAAGGGAAAGTGACAAGAAAGTTTTCAAATCAGTTTGGAAAAAAAGAAAAAAACCCTAATAGAAAAAGCAATGGGGAAAACAAGCAAAAATCACCAAAAAAGATATAGTCAATAATCTTGTGAAAAAAATACTTGCCCTTTATCAGTACTCAAATGTATGCAAACTGAGATGGGAATTAAACAAGGTCTTGGAAAAGATCCATTTTTTTTTTATTATACTAGACAATGTGGGTGAAGACACAGGGAAGGGGTGCCTCATATGGTCCTGGTGAGACTGAAAAATACTCAGGCTTTCTGAAGTGTAATTTTTTTTATATTAAGGGTCTTAAACATGTTCATTATCTATATGCTGAAAATTTCATCTTCAGAAATTTCACAGGGAGATGTGAAAAAAAGGTTTTAAGTATATTCATTGAAGCAATGTTTGTAATTCAAAACACTGAAAATCTGAACGTTTCACAATAGGATGATTGAATTATGTTTCACACATAAAACAGAAAATTATGCCACCATTAACAGTATAATTTTTGACAAACATTGAATAATAGCAAGTTGTATGCTGGGGGGAAAGCAAGATATAAAACCATCAACAATGTAATCCCATTTTTGCTTAAAATTATATGTAAACATAATATTAGAAAAGTTATACACCTGGTTGTAAGTGGTGGTTATCTCTTCTAAGCGGTGGAGCTAAAGGGTCCTTTTTCCTTAACACTTTATGTGATATTCATCTACTACACCAGAATGTAAGCTCCTTGTGGGTAAGAAACAGCTCTTGTTAACCGTCATACCTTCAGCTTCTTACAGTGTCCAGCACAGGAAGGATGCCCAACAAACCTTGATGGACTTATAAATTGAATAGTTTTCTCTTTATTTCCAAATTTTCTGTCATCAGAATTTTTGTAACCAAAATAGTCTTAACACAAGCATCTTTTTTTTTTAAAGAAAAAAACAGCAAGACAAAACACGGTTTATGAGTAAAAATTTAGCACAATTCAAATGTCTAGTAGTTATTTTAAAATTTTGTTTTTTAAGTGTTTGGTGACCAACAGAAAATGATTATAGAACATTAAGGAAAATTTAGGAAATGTAATTACACATGTAATATGATCTCCATATGTGAGCAAATACCTTATAGAGAAAAGACTAAAAATATGAGAATGTTAACCACAGTTTTTGGAGGTTGGAATTATTTATCTTTCCTTCTTTAACCTTTATCTCCTTTCCAAATTTCTGACAGTAAGAATGCATTATTCACATAGTCATAAAATGTTTAGGTTAAATTCTTTAAAATACCAGAGAGAAGAGGCAGCAAAATAAAGTGGGTAAGAGAAGGAGCCAGAACAAACTGTCTGGGTTGGAAGCTGGCTCTTCCTAGCTATGACCTTGAGCATTTGGCTCAACTCTGCTTCCTTTTCTGTAAAATAAGGAAAATAATAGAACCTACCTCACAAGTACATCATCATAGCTGTTTTTACTTTATTTTAAAAAGTTAATACTCACAGCACTTAAAATAGCATCTAGCAAATAAAGGCTATAGAAGTGTTTCTTAAAGGACGCCTGGGTGGCTCAGCCAGTTAAGCATCTGCCTTTGGCTCAGGTCATGATCCCAGGGTCCTGGGATGGAGCCCCACATTGGGCTCCCTGCTCAGCGGGGAGTCTGCTTCCTCTCCCTCTGCTGCTCCCCCTGCTTGTGCTTTCTCTCTCTCTCTCTGACAAATAAATTATATTTTAAAAAAAAAGAAGTAATTGTTAAAGTAAGTTATTAATGAACCAAGTCTCTGGAGAGCCACATGGTAACCATATTTCTTTTCCTCCTTTCCTTCCTTCCTTCCCTCTTCCTTTCTTCTGTCACCCACAGGTTCCTTTCCCTTTGGAGAAAGACATGTATTTAGGGAAGATGGGGCAACAGATTATCTAAGTCAACATACTGAGACAGCAGTAAACAAGAACTTAATGACTGGTTAGAATACTGGAAATCAGAAATAATGTGCCAATGTTTCTGTATGTGGTGATAAGAAGAATTGGGGGGAGGAGGAGGTGGGAGATTGAAGACAAGATGAGCTAGGAGAAGGTCAGGAACTTGGGGCTTCATACCTCAATCATAGCACATACCCAGTGGCCAGCCTACCTTGGATCATTCCAACTGAATTGTGAGGGAGTCTGTAGAAAAGGGATGCACCCATCCCCCTCCACAAGGCAGCAGTTTTATCAAGAGCAAGTTGTGTGCAGACAGGGGAGGCCCTAACTAGTCCCTTTCAGCTCTACCCTATTTAGCCAATGTCCTGAGACATTTCTCCCGCCAGGTGCGGCTTCTTGATGCCTTGGTTAAACCTGGTCTCAGTCAGTGCAGGGAACCCAGTGTTTCCCATCAGGATGACCGCTCCATTGTTTTCTCTGCAGAATGACACCAGCACTTGGGAAAAAGGAAACCATGTATCTCGTGTTGGTTCTGCTTCATTTTTAGAGAGCTGCCATTTCTTCCTCCTGTAATAATGGGTACGCCAGCATTATTCTCTATGGTTATACTTACTATGTCTGTTTTTAACATTGCCTTTCAAAGGGTTAACCATACATTAATCAAATTAAAAAAGAACATGTTAAGTGAAAGCCGCAGTCACACAACCTCTCTAAACAAATCTCAGAAAGTTGAAAATAAACAGTTTAACCTGCCAATCAGTTATCCAGGGAACACTAAGACACCCTCTCTTTAATTTTTTCAGATTACATCAAAACCCTGGCTTCAGATCAGAACTGCAGAATGCTTGCACATTAGTGAACTTGGAACCTATTGCAAGTCAGTCACATTACTCTTCCTTAAATGTCAAAACAGTGAGTACAGCATCTCCCAAGAACCATAAACAGCTGGCAGAGACTTAATACCAAGATCAGACCTTTCCATACAAGTCTCCTCTTTTTACCATTTAATTAAGATTACAGTTTGGATCTAACATGAACACTTGCCAGACCATTTCCACCAGAGCTCTTAAGACCCACCTTCCTCTGGGTCCTTTGAGGAAGACTTTGTGATCCACCACATTTGGACCAAAAGGAAGGCAGTTGCTGCCCTGCGGTCTCTCAAGAGAAGCCGGAAATCCACCTAAGTGAGCAGAGAGCCAGAAGTTAGAAAACACATGCCTTAACTTTAGGCTCAGAGAAATTTCTAAAAAGAGGAGAGTCCAACTCAGTGACACCCCAGTCAGTTCTCAAAAGCAACAATCTGGTATAAAAAAGGAAAAGCTCGACCTCATCTGGGCTGGCATAACCATAACCGGAGTGGCCTGGGGAGGCCCAGGAACAGATATCCAGAGCTGGGAATGTCCAAGAACAGTTTGAATTTGGGTGTTGAATGGGATCAGGAGTTGTGGGGCTGAGAACTGGGTGTCTGTGCCAAGCATGACACCCACCCTGTAGTAAGTGATCACTGCTTTTGGCACATAAATAAACCAATTAAGCTTAATTAGCTAATTAAACTACAATCCAGGCTTTTGATTTTGTAGCAGTAGTTATGGTTCAGAAGGTCTGGGGTTTATCTTTTTAGGAGAACTTCTTATAAACCAATGAATAACCTGATTCTTAGCCAGTAGGGATGGTGTTGGTCTGGGGGAAAAAATATATTTTATTTTGTTGGCCTTCCTGACCCATCCCATTTTAGCCAAAGGCAACAATTAATGACAGAATTTTGTTTGGTGACATGTCATTTACTAGGTTTGTGTAAAAACAGTACAAAGATTGATGCCAGAACTTACACAGAATTTTGTCTCCTTCCGCCTATATGGTTCCCAGTTAGTCAGTCCAACATCAGAGCATATGACCATAAACACACACACATAACAAACCACTACCGCCTGGATTTTGCATCAAAATAACCCTACAGAGTTAACCAAGTCTTCCTTTGGGTACTTACAATCTCAATCACTCATCTGCTAGATGATACAGTTAATAAAACAAGAATGCCCTGGAGCTGTTATCTAGAGTGCTCACCAGAAACTGTGTTGTCAATTTGCCTACACAAGTGGACTCAGGGGACTGGTTCAACAGAGGCTGACATAAAGTGGCCCATCATTTATTCCTTTTCAGAGAAAACACAATTTCCCAGTGGGTAATACTTCCGTGAAGAGCTTGTCAAAACTCAAAATATCCTCCCCAGGGAAATCTATTTGCAGAGAAGATTTACAATCAGAAGGTTGTTGGATAAGCATCAAGTCTTGATCATATTAATGACAGGTGCCCTCAAGTATTAGCAGTCAGAATGCTGCCTACCTTTCCACTATGGGCACAATCCAAAACCATGTGAGTGGTCTGGAGAGTTGGGGCTCCTCCCCCCACTCAGTATTAAAGGTACACTGACACATTCTATCTTCTGATCCACTTGCTCAAATTCCATGGGACACCAGCCTTCTACTGAGATATTCTTGCCCATGCAATTTGGCCTCAGCTACCTGAATTCCTACGTCTTTTCATTAAGCAATTTCTTTGGTGGGGGTGGGGGAGTACTACTGATCCCTGATTTCATCTCTTATGTGTTGGTTCTTCCTAATTTCAATCTCTGAGAGTAATTTTAAGTTTTTACATACTACTTTGCTGTCTTTTAATTGTCTTTACATCAAAAGATAGATAAAAATTGCAGTTACAGGGTGCCTGGGTGGCTCAGTTGGTTAAGCGACTGCCTTCGGCTCAGGTCATGATCCTGGAGTCCCGGGATCGAGTCCCGCATTGGGCTCCCTGCTCAGCAGGGAGTCTGCTTCTCCCTCTGACCCTCCTCCCTCTCATGCTCTACGTCTCTCATTCTCTCTCTCTCAAATAAATAAATAAAATCTTTAAAAAAAAAATTGCAGTTATAGATTTTGGACCCATTATGCAACTGTCAGTGGTAGTATACACTGATTAAATGAGGGTAAGAGGGACTCCATCCTGGGACCACACAAATAACACTTGAATTCAGAATTCAACATGCAACCATTTGTCCTTTAGCCACCATGAACTTCCTGTGGTTCTTAAGTTTGGTTCTAATAACCAGACATCCACTCAAATTAGCTTAAGTAAAAAGGTCAGGGGTGGTTCTCAAGACTACTTCTCACAGAAACCAAAATGACAGGCCTAAAGTGAACGAGAACGTGGAAGTGGGCCATGAGATTGGTGTTTCTGAGTGGTTTGACAATCTTTCATTTCTTTCTGATGATCAAGGGCTATGTGGTCACCTCATCCCACATCTTTATCTCCTCTCACCTTGGTCCGTTTCCTTTAGTGTGTATGGCTCAACTAGGCCATCAGCCTCAAGGCTATCGGACCTACCTAAGTCTGCAGCTCCATGTTCCAAAAGTAATTTCAGAAGGACATCAAGATGTTTGTATAAATGAAGAGTAGAATAGGACTAAAATAAAGTATGATAAGGCTACTCAAGGGACTGACGTATAAACATGGCTCTGAACTTACAGGATTTCTTTACTGCCTTACAGAAGGATTTTTAAAATCTGCTATTTGATTTTTTTTTTTTTTTTTTACAGACACACATTGTATTCATCTCCTAGATCTGCCATAATCAAGTACCACAAACTGGGTGGCTTAAAACAAAATTCTGTCAACTCACATTTCTGGAGGCTAGTAGTGTGAAATCAAGGTGTTTTTAGGGTCCTGCTCCTTCTGAAACATGTAGGGGACTCCTTGCTTGCCTCTCCCTGTGGTTAGTCAGCAATCTTTGGCATCCCTTGGCTTGCCGATCAATCACTCCAATCCTCCCCCTTCACGTGGCATTCTATGTGTCTTCATATCATCTTCCCTGTATGCGTGTCTGACTTTGTGTCAAAATTTCTCCTTTTTACAAGGACACCAGTCATATTGAATGAAGACCCACCCTAACGACCTCATATGGATTTGAGTACCTCTGTAAAGACTATTTCCAAATAAAGTCACATTGAGGTGCTGGGGATCGGAACAATTCAATCCTTAAATCACATACATAGAACTTTATATAAAGGCATAAATATGATCATATGCACAGAGTTTCATTTTTAGTGAAGTGTTTTACTTTTTTCCCCTAAATTTGGTTCTGTACTTCCCTTCTCCCTTTTCTACTTTCATTCATCTTCATCATGCCATCTTCTTCCCCTTACCAAGGTAACCAATTTTTACAACCTAATATGTATCCTTTCTTAGTGTTCCCTGTAATGCTATCATCTCATTCAGATATATATACACACTTCTGTCAATTCTTTTCCCTCAAAAATAGAATCATTTTATGTACTTTTCTCAATAGTTTCTTATGAGAATTTCCTCCACATGGTCTTGTTCAGTTTTAATTCATTTTTTTATTGATTGCAAACATATTCCTTTGTGTGAGATGTATCATAAATTATTAAGCTACTACTCTGTTGATGGGCATGCCCCCTTTTTCCTGTTTTACACAATGCTGGAGTAAACCTCCTTAGACATAGATCCTTAAAACTGCTTTTATTTCTATGGGCTACAGTTAAGTATTGAACTGCTGGGTCAAGGCTACATGTACTTTTTATTTTAATAGATGTTGTCAAATTTCTTTCCCAGAAGATTTTAGCACATCACATTTCACCAGCAAAGTATCAGAGTACATCCCCTCACCCTCTCCCCCCACCAGCATACAGTATTATGGCTCTTTCTGCCAATCTAAGTATAAAATGGTGTTTTGTTTTGTTTTTTTTAAAGATTTTATTTGAGAGAGAGAGAATGAGAGAGAGCACATGAGAGGGGGGAGGGTCAGAGGGAGAAGCAGACTCCCTGCCGAGCAGGGAGCCCGATGCAGGACTCCATCCAGGGACTCCAGGATCATGACCTGAGCCGAAGGCAGTCGCTTAACCAACTGAGCCACCCAGGTGCCCGAAAATGGTGTTTTATCATTAATTTTAACTTGCCTCTCTCTGACAGCTAGTGAATCTAAGCATCCTCTCATATGTTTATTGGTGTGTTGGCCATTTGAATTTACTCTTCAGTGAGCTGTTCATTTGTATCTTGAGTATCTTTCATCAACTCGTTTTTTTCTCAAATTTAAGAGTTTATATTAGAAATATAAACCTGTTACATTACAGATGTACTTTTCTTATTTATGTATTGACTTTATAATTTTAAAAATTAAATTTAATGATGCTGTCTTTTACAGTTTCTGGTCTTGATTTAAAACGGTCTCTCCCACCCTCAGAATGTTCACGTAGCCTACCAGATTTTTAAACAATCCCTTCATTGTTATATTTTTTACATTTAAATATTTGACCTATTTGAAGTGGATTTTTCCATGTAGTATCAGGTAGGAGTCGGTTTTGTTTTTTTTTTTCCAAATTGAGAGCCAGTACCATCTATTTTTTCTTACATCTTTTCTCCACAGTTCTATATTAAATCCTCACTTCTACTGGGATTTGTATCTGGCTCTAACAGCCAATTCAAAAAGAATGCATGAAAGCCTGGAAGGGTAACTGACATTTTGGCTATGATAGCGGTGGCGTGGTGACAATTTATTTATTCTTCACTTTGCATAGCTATATATTCTGATTTTTCCTAGAATGAGCATGCATTACTGGTATAACAAAAATAAATAAAGGGGAGAAAACAGTAAACACAACTAGTTTCATCATCCATAGCGTCCTAGGACAAAAACAAACTTCAGCTAAGGAGCAGCACTACTATTCCTGGAACAGAGACCTGAGAAGGTTTTCTCCCTGCCGGGCAGGGGTGGGTATGGGGTGGGGGGCATGCAAGAGGTTTGTTCCCACAGGACCCTGGAAAATCCCTTTCAAGGCCAGTTTTCCCCAGGGAGGGGACTGATTAAGTTCTGGGAGGTCATTTCATTTTGGCAGTTCATTGTGAAATGGGTGCTGAGGTGGTGATTTAAAGTGTGACTGGCAGGCAACTCATGTTCAAGCGCAATGAGTTTAATTGATTGGAAGAGCAGGTTGTTCTGAGCTGATGCAATAACCACTAGGGCTGGGTGTTGGGTTTCAATGTGTGAAATGATGCAATAATTGCCTGTGTTAAACAGCAGCTGAATTCCTAGCAGCAGCTTAAGAGCTGAAGAGGGATCTTTGAATTGGCCATTAGAGAGCACAAATTCTGTGAAAGTGACCCTATCACCATAACCCCAGGGTGCAGCATCTGTCCCTAAAGTGTTAGGGGTCAGTTAAAGCTCTGAAGTCGCAGTAAAACAGTCCCATGGTGCTAATAAAACCCCTGCAGTAAACTTGCAGAGTCATGATTGTTGACTGCCTAAATTAAGAAGTGGTGGGGTCCCCTTCCACTGCAAAAGAACCACCATCAGCACAGCCCAAGTAACCTGAAGAAACTCCCCCACACTTCTCCAACTGGTGCATCACCCTGGGGAAGGTCAAAGTGTGAGGGGTGTGCCAAAACCTCCCACACCTCCCTGCAAGGCCTGGGACTTGGGGCCTCAGGGACTGGTGGACTGGGGTGGGGGGTGGGGTGCAAATAAACGTGCATCCTGGAATTCTAGTTAATGCAGGAGGAATCCTCAAACAACCTTGAACAGTTTCTCTAAAACCACTTGAATAAGTGCAGTATCACATTTCTTGGTACTGCTTCTTATGCCACTCCTTAGAGGATGCAAATGGGGGCCCAGTAAAACTAACTAGGTGGGAAGCCACAACCCAGTGGGCCAGGTCAGCTGTTTCCTGAGGGTCTGTTAACCCAAGGATAAATTTTCCAGTGTGAGGAGTGCATTTTCTTCAGGTCATCCTCCTGAAAACACTATTTCTCACAACTAAGTCCTTGATAATTACTGACCTTCCGTTAAGTTTGAGAGAATATTCCTGATGTATCTTTGGAATAGGGCGATCCAATGATGTTGGTAAAATTCAAAACTAAATGTTTGGGCAATCAGCCAAGTTTTGGGGAGGGGGAAGAAGACACTCTCTTAACTGACAGCTGGAGGGCTTCATGAGGTCTGCATGCAAGGCCAGTCCACCTGCTTCCTGAGGTAGCATAGGGATGGAGCAATTTTGGGCTCCTCTATTACCAAACAGATATTAAGGCTCTAGAGTTTTACTTTATCATAATCATAATAATTTCCATCTTAAACATTTTAAAGCAGGTGTTTTCACATATCCACCTAAACCATTAAACAAACAAACAATAAAAATCTCAAAGCTCCTGTAACTGTTTTAGCTTAGAGAAATAAAATAGAGCTTCCTGGTGTTTCTTCCAAGACAAACTGGCCAGGATATAAGCGTCTAGTTAAATATTGGGGGATGTCTTCCAAAAATTATTACTTTGTCTTGGAACTATTTGTATTAATTCCATTGTTTATCTCAGAAATGGATAAAACCAAAAGGGTCTTAAGTTCCCTTTTAGGTGATTTCCTTGAATTATTTTTTACTTCCCATCACTTAATGAAGCTGGCCAGGTTTCTTTTTATTATTATTCAAATATAGTTGACACACAATGTTACATTAGTTTCAGGTGTACAACAAAGTGATTCAACAACTCTGTACAATGTGCTGTGCTCACCACAAGCGTAGCTATCATCTGTCACCACAGGACACTCTTAAAATATCATTGACTATATTCCCTGTGCTGTACCTTTTATTCCCATGACTTACTCATTCCATCACTAAAAGCCTGTACCTCTCACTCCCCTTCACCCATTTTGCCCATCCCTCCATCCTGGCCATGTTTTCTCACTTGTGCTTGAGTTTTTGTTTGGTTTTTGCTCTTTACTAGTTTCTCCCCCTCTTTTGTAGTTGTTTATGTGCTAGTGGAGAGTATCAAATCTGGCAATTGAAGCTGCAGTCCCAGATGTGCCAGGTCATTATGCAAAGCAAACTAGGTTTAAATTAGTAGCAACACCCTTGATAGCAGGTAAAAAGAGAAATTCCCTTTTCAAGAAACATAAAGTAGACTTGTATAAAGTTCCAATGTGGCAGCAGGGCATCAAGAGAGTTTGTAAACCTCCACATCCCTAATGGCCTAGGAGCATGGCCTGCCTCCAGGACTGGGAATTCAGTATTTTCCAACTTGGAAAAGTTTAGATTTTCTTGATTTATGGAATAAAGCAATGAAGTTGCTAGTGTTCCAGACTTCCCCACACCCACCTCATACACAGTCGCCCTGTCCCCTCCTCAGTCCTACCTGTCAGACCGGTTTTCCCATTTTGTGTAAGACAATAATGTGGAAAAGCTGAGGAGGAGGGGAGTCTTTAAGTTGAAGAGAATAGTGTTGAGGGCTGCTGTGGTATGTGAGAGGGTGGAACTGGATAATTAACAGGGAACTTTAAGAAGGGCTGCTGAAGACTTCTGCATGACCCTCACATGGAGCAAAACCAAAAAACCAAAAAAAAATCAAAAAAACAAAAACCCCACAACAAGTATAGGGCTTCAATTCTTCTGATCAGTCTCAGAGAGAGTGTCTGCTCTTTTTACCTGTCCATCACCAACTCCTCCTTCTTAAGTTCAGCAGCCTCATTTTCTGCTGGGGGGGCGGGTGGTCACCTTACCTTCAGACTCTGAGGTTTGGGCAGGAAGCTCCAGGCCCCTCTCCCCTATCCCTGGTTTAAGGCCAGCATAGGACTCCAGCAGCCAATCAACACTCCCAGGTCCCTGGAACACACTCAAGTGACTGTGAATGAGAAGGCTTTCATCCAAGTAGATGGCTCAGCCAAGGCTGTGACCTGGGGTTCCAACACTCACTTCACCACATGGCCCTCAGAGCCCTCCCAGTCGGGAAGCCAGGCGCCATACTGGCAGAGAAACCAGGGATGGAGAGAGATACTTAACAACATAATGGGAATCCAGGGGTGACTGAAGTCATTCCATCCCTGGCTTCTTAGGTCCTGGTTATGTTCCCCCTTCGTCTTGATCATCTTGTCTGTGTTGGGGTTCTTTCCCCTGCAGCAGAGAGTTTCCTAGTTCGGTGCTGACCACCGCTTTGGGGAACAAGTCATGTGGGTGTGAAATATACCTCTTGTAGATTTCTCTCATTGGCACTATTCTCCTGGAACCAAGAGAATAAATCTCTCCCTTCAGACAGGGGAATCCTGTCATAGTTTATCTTTCTAACACTCTCTTCTTCTGGCCATTACTCCCAGTTCCTTTCTATTTTATGGTATCTACTCAACACAAAGGTAAAAGATCAGATGTCAAATTCTCTCCTCAAAAGGGTGGGAGGTTCCTCATCTCTGACTTGTTTTTCTTGGGAACATGAGAACTAGTTGAAGCCCTTAGTATTCAATTAAATTTAAAAAAGGGCATTCCAGGCAAGCAGTTCCACATGAGCCACTAAATTTCAGATTATTACCTGCAAGTCACATCAGCATGACCCATGTCATTCACTACTTACACATAAGTTAGCAAATAATATACTTTAAAAATAATTTTCTGTAACTAAGAAAAAATAAAAGTTCCCTCTCAAATAATAGTGCTCTCATCCATTGGCCTTCTATTAGCTCTTAAGAGGGAAAGGAAGAGGAGGGTGCACCCAGGATTATAACCAGCAGGCTAACAAATGAGTGAACAATCATCCATCATTTGTGCCATGGGATTACAAGGGTAGAAAACATTATGCTGAATTGGAAGCCCTTTGAGAAGGGGGTTGAGTCTTATTTGCCCTTGTGTTTGCAGAGCCTGGTTCAGAGCCTGACAATGATGTATATGAGTAATGAATAACTGATAAACACATGAATGAACAAGTATATGCTTTCCTGGGGCAACAAGAGGAGTACCTTGGTAAGAGCTACGTCACCTTCTATCAGATTTCTCAGCAGAAACTTTCCAGGCCAGAAGGGAGTGGCAGGATATATTTAAAGTGCTGAAAGGGAAAGAAGAAAAAAAAAAAACATAACCAAGAATAGTCTTCCAAGCAAGATTATCACTCAGAGTTGAAGGAAGGATAAAAAGTTTCCCAGACAAACAAAAACTAAAGGAGTTCATCACCACTAAGCCAGCCTTACAAGAAATGTTAAAGGGTCTTCATGAAGCAGAAAGACCATAACTAAAAATAAAATATACAAAAGAAAATATCACACTGGTAAAGCCAAATATACAGTAAAGGCAGTGATCAGCCCCTTTTAGAAAGCTAGTATAAAGGTTAAAAGACAAAAATAGTAAAAATCAACTGTAACCACAGTAAGTAGTTAAGGGATACACAAAACAAAAAGATATAAAATATGATGCCAAAACATGAAACGTTGCAGAGAGTAAAAATGTAATGCTTGAGTTGCTCAATTTCAAATGCATTTTTATCAGATTGAAATAAATATACATCAATATATATGAACCTCATGGTAACCAAAAAAAACCAAAAACCTGTAATAGATACACAAAAAATAAAGAGAAAGGAACCCAAACATAACACTACAGAAACCATCAAATCACAAGTGAAAAAGAGAGAGAAGAGAGGAACAGAGAACTATAAAAATAACAAGAAAATAATCAACAAAATAGCAATAAGTACATACCTATAATAATTACTTTAAATGTAAATGTACTAAATGTTCTAATCAAAAGACATAGGGTAGGTGACTGAATGGACAAAAACAAAAAAACACAAGACTCATCTATACGTTGCCCACAAGAGACTTACTTCAGATCTAAGGACATATGCAGACTGAAAGTGAAGGGATGGTTTTCCAAGCAAATGGTAATGAAAAGAAAGGTGGAGTAAAAAAGAAAAAAAAGAAAGGTGGAGTAAAAAAAAAGAAAAAAGAAAGGTGGAGTAGCAATTCTCCTATCAGTCAAAATAGACTTTAAAATAAAGAAAACAAGAGAAAAAAAGGGCATTCCATAATGATAAAGGGGTCAATCCAAGAAGAGGATATAACACTTGTAATTATTTATGCACTCAAAAGAGGGTCACCTAAGTATATAAAGCAAATATTAACAGTCAAAGGTAGAAAAAGACAGTAACAATAATAGGGGATTTTAATACCCCACTTACATCAATAGATAGATCATCCAGACAGAAAATCATTAAGGAAATAATGGCCTGCCTTAAACAATTCATTAGACCAGGTGGACTTAGCAGATAAATACAGAACATTCCATCCAAAACCAACTCAATGTACATTTTTTTAGAGTGCACATGGAACATTCTCCAGGATAGATCACATATTAGACCACAAAACAAGTCTCAAATTCAAGACAACTGAAATCATATCAAGCATCTTTTCCAACCACAATGGTATGAAACTAGAAGTCAATTAAAAGAAGACAAATAGAAAAAATACCAACACATGGATACTAAGCAACATGCTACTGAAGAACCAATGTGTCAGAGAAATAAAAAATACCTAAAGAAAAGTGAAAATGGAAACACAACTTTCCAAAATCTATGGAATGTAGCAAAAGCTGTTCTAAGGGGGAAGTTCACAGCAATACAGGCCAACCTCAACAAACAAGAAAAATCCCAAACAATCTGACTTTCACCTAAAGAAATTAGAAAAAAGAAACAAGCCCAAAGTTAGTAGAAGAAAGCAGAAATAAATAAAGACTGAAAAAACAAGAGAGAAGATCAATGAAACTAAAAACTGCTGGTTCTTTGAAAAGACGAACAAAAATAGGTAAACCTCCAGCCACACTCATCAAGAAAAAGAGAGGGTCCAAATAATAAAATTAGAAAGAGAAGTTACAACTGATACCAAAGAAGTAAAAAGGATCATATGAGGCTACTATGACAATTACACACCAAACTGGACAACCTAGAAGAAATGGATAATTCCTAAAAACATACAATCTTTCAAGACTGAATCATGAAGAAATAGAAAATCTGAATAGACTGATTAGTAGAAAGGAGATTGGAAGTAATCAAAAACCTCCCAAACAGAAGTCCAGGGCAAGACAGCTCCACTGGTGAATTCTACCAAGAACACTTCCTCTTAAACTCACTTAATGAGGCCAGCATTACTCTGATACCAAAACTAGATGAAGACACTACAAAAACAAGTACAGGCCAATGCAAAAATCCTCAACAAAACATTAGCAAACCAAATTCAACAATGCATTAAAAGGATCATATACTATGATCAAGTGGAATTTATTCTAAGGATGCAAGAATAGTTCAACATCCACAAAATCAATGTGACACACAACATTAACAGAATGAATAAGAATTATATGATCACCTCAATAGACACAGAAAAAGCATTTGACAAAATTTAACATCCATCTATGATAAAAACTCTCAAAAAAATGGGTACAGAAAAAATGTATATCAACATAATAAGTCCTAGCCACAGCAATTAGACAATAAAAGGCATCCAAATTGGAAAGGAAGATGTAAAATGGTTACCATTAGTTAACATGATATTGCAGATAGAAAACCATAAAGACTACCAAAAGTATTAGAACTAATAATTCAGTAAACTTGTAGGATACAAAATTAACATCAGAAATTGGTTGCATTCCCATACCCTTATAACGACCTATCAGAAAGAAATTAAGAAAACAATCCCATTCATAATTACAACAAAAACAATAAAACACCTAGGAATAAATTTAGCCAAGGTGAAAGACCTACATTGAAAACTGTAAGACACTGATTAAAGAACTAAAAAAATAAATAGAAAGATATTCCATGTTCATGGATTGGTAGAATATTGTTAAAATGTCCATTCTGCCCAAAGCAATCTATAGATTCAATGCAATCCCTATCAAAATTCCAACGGCATTTTTCAGAGAACTGGAACAAACAGTTATAAAATTTGTATAGAACCACAACAGACCCAAGTAACCAAAGCAATCTGAGAAAGAAGAACAAAGCTGGAGGTATCATAATCTCTGATTTCAAACTATACTACAAAGCTGTAGTAATCAAAAGAGTATGGTACCTGCACAAAACCAGACATACACATATAAATAGAACAAAATAGCCCAGAATTAATCCCACACACATATGATTAATTAATTAATGACAAAGAAGGCAAGAATATACAATGGGGAAAGGACAGTCTTTTCAATAAATGGTGTTGGGAAAACTGGCTAACTATATGCAAAAGAATGAAACTGGACCGTTCTTTTATACCATATACAAAAATTAACTCAAAATGGATTAAAGACTTGAATGTTAGGATCTGAAACCATTAAATTCATAGAAGAAAACATAGGTGGCAACTTCTTGACATCGGTCTTAGCGATGTTTTTTTTGGATCTGACTCCAAAAGCAAGGGCAACAAAGCAAAATAAACAAATGGAACTATGTCAAACTCAGTAGCTTTTGCTCAGCAAAGGAAACCATCAACAAAATGAAAAGGTGACCTACTGAATAGGAGAAGATATCTGCAAATCACACATCCAAAAAGAGGTTAATATACAAAATAATTTAGAAAGAACTCATACAACCCCATAACAACAACAACAACAACAACAAAACCCCAAACAATTCAATTAAGAAATGGGCTAAAGATCTGAATAGACTTTTTCCAAAGATGGCCAACAGGAACATGAAAAGATTCTCTGCACTCATCAGGGAAATGCACATTGAAACTACAGAAAGATATCACCTCACACCTGTAAGAATGGTTAGTATAAAAAAAAAAATGTGTTGGTCAGGATGTAAAGAGAACCCTTGTTCACCATTGGAGTAAACATAAACTGGTGTAATCCCTATGGAAAACAATAGGAGCTTCCTCAAAAAATTAAAAATAGAACTACCATATGGTCTATCAATTCCACTACTAGGTACTTATCTGAAAAATAAAAAAGGAAAACACTAATTCGAAAAGATATATGCACCCTCATGTTCATTGTAGAATTATTTACAATAGCCAAGATATGGAAGCAACCTAAATGTTCATCAATAGATGAATGGGTAAAGAAGATGTACACACACTCATGCACACACACACACACACAGAGGAATGCTACTCAGCCATAAAAAATGAAATCTTGTCATTTGTGACAAAATGGATGGAACTTGAGGGTATTATGTAAGTGGAAAAAAGTCAGACAGAGAAAGGCAAATACTTCATGTTTTCATTTAGAAGTGTAATCTAAATTTAAAAAAGAAGAAATAATACAAAATAAAACCTATACTCATAGATTCAGAGAATAGAGTGGTGGTTGCCAGAGGTTTAGGGGGTTAAGGGAGGAGGGGTGCAAAATGGGCAAAGGGGATCAAATATACAAACTACCAATTATAAAAGAACTAAGTCAAAAAGAATAACAGTCATAGGGATGTAATGTACAACATGAAAATACAATAAATAGTATTGCATTCATTTTGTATGACAGATGGGAACAAGACATATTGTGTTGATCAGTTCCCAATGCATACAACCATGGAATCACTATGTTGTATACCTGAAACTAATAGAATGCTCTGCCAATTATGTTTCCAAGAAATGTGGTATATACACACACAATGGATTATTCAGCCATTAAAAAAGGAAATCCTGCCATTTGCAACAGGAAGTATATCTGTCAGAGAAAGACAAATACCATATAATATCACTTATATGTGGAACAGCAACGAAAACCTGAGTATATAGATACAGAGAACAGACTGGTGGTTGGCAGAGGCCAGGAGTGGGGGGTGGGAGAAAGGGATGAAAGCATCAAAAGGTACAATTTCCAATTACAAAATAAATAAGTCATGAAGATGTAATGTACAGCATGGTGAGTGTAGTTAATACTACTGTATTGTATATTTGAAAGTTGCTAAGAAAATAGATCTTAAAAGTTGTCATCACCAGAAAAAAAATTTGTAACTGCATATGACAACAGATGTTAACTAGACTTATTGTGATGATCACTTTGCAGTATATACAAATATAGAATCATTATTTTGTGCACCTGAAATAGGTTATGTACATT